AGAAAAGTATTCTAGAATTTATTCGTATCACATCTAAAAAAAATTCTTCAACATTTGTTGTCGACAACTAGCACTTTTTAGATCATCTCTCTTGAATTACGTTCTAATTAATATGATTTATAAGATAATTTGCTTAAAATTATAGAATATTAAACTATAACATCTAGTTCTAGTTTGAAAAAAACTTTTTCTAATAGTTCTGATCTCGGCAGCGATCAGGATTAAACTCGATCAAGCACATCCCAATGCTAACTTTGAAATGAATCTTTTTGTTTTTGTTTTTTTTAATTAACAGATTGAAAAAGTACTTGAATCATTACGTCTTGATAATGATAAACTACGACAAATGATGCAATTACTTGAACAAGAAATGGAAGCTGGTCTTTCTCCAGCTACACATAAAAAAGCTGATGTTAAAATGTTTCCAACTTATGTTCGAAATATAGCTAATGGATCAGAAACTGGTCAAGTACTTGCATTAGATTTAGGTGGTACAAATTTTCGTGTTTTACTTGTTAATTTATTACCACATTCTGAAGTTGAATTAACATCAAAAATATTTGTTATACCACAATCAATTATGCTTGGTGAAGGAGTTAATGTAAATTAAAATTGATTTTATTAAAAAACAAAACATAAAAATAAAACTAATAAAATATTATTCTTGTAATTATTATTTTAGTTATTTCGTCATCTTGCTGATTGTCTTCTTGATTTTATGAAAAAAGAAAATTTAATTCAACCAGGTGTTCGTTATCCATTAGGTTTTACATTTTCATTTCCTTGTCAACAAGAAGGTCTTGCATCAGCACGATTATCATCATGGACAAAAGGTTTTACATGTTCAGGTGTTGTTAATGAAGATGTTGTTAAAATGCTTCAAAAAGCAATCGATGAAAAAGTATTTGATTTCAAAAAAAACAAAAACAAAAACAAAATTCTTTATTTTATTTCTTCTAGAATATTAGTGTACAATGTGTTGCACTTATTAATGATACTGTTGGTACATTAATGGCATGTGCATATAAAAATCCTACTACAGCTATTGGTCTTATATTAGGTACAGGTACAAATGCGTGTTATACTGAAAGTTTAGATCGTATTGGTACATGGAATGGTGATTATAATGAACCAAAACAAGTTATTGTTAATATGGAATGGGGTGCATTTGGTAATAATGGTCGTTTAAATTATCTACGAACAAAATATGATGAAGAAGTTGATCTTTCATCAGTAAATCCTGGCAAACAAATGTATAAATATATAAATATGTTTTTTTTCCTTAACAAAAAAAAAAACAACAATATTTTTTTTTGTTTTTGTTTAGTTTTGAAAAAATGATTAGTGGAATGTATATGGGTGAAATAGTTCGTTTAATTATACTTGATTTAATGCAACAAGATTTATTATTTATTGGTCAACGTGATCATTATGGAGATTATAAAACTCCATTATTTACACGTGGTGGATTTTATACAAAATTTGTTAGTACTGTTGAAACAGATGTAGGCATTGCATTTGCAAATACAAGACGTGTTCTTCAAGATGTTGGTATAAGAAATCCAACTTTTGATGATTGTGCAATTGTACAACATATTTGCAAAAATGTTTCAAAACGAGCATCTCGACTAGCTGGAGGAGGTATAGATATATTTGATGTTTTATTTTAACATAAACTTAATTCAAAAGGAGTTACAAGATTCTAAAAGGTCGTTAATTTAGTTTGGAATTAGATATAGATTAAAAAAAATTCCCATTAACTATATTGATGAGTGTAAACTATGGTATATATATATATTCTAACAATATTAGTTTCAGCCCTCACCTATATCCTATATTAATCTTGTTTTGTCATAGTTTTCGAAAGTTCGCCCTACTGTTGCCATTGACGAAAGTCTTATTGACAAAATTCTGGCCACCTGGAGTTAATCCAAGTGGATGACAGGTAATCAACTGTGCTCATTTCAAATATGAACATGAAAATGAGCTGTTAAACATTTGAAAAACTAGGATTTTTAGAAAACTTTTTTCATATGTGTCTCGCTTGTGGAGCCGGGATGGAAACAGTATACTTCAAGACTAAAGTCCCTACCATTTTCCCTCGAGACTTCTAGAACCAAGAGATTTCAAAGATTTCATGAGATCTCAATATATATTAAAAGCTATAACTCAAAGACTTCAAGGCTGAATTCTTTGATGTTTCATCCTCGTGTATATTTTAAAAAAATCGTTGCTTTTTTTAAAGTTTCCTAAAGAAGCATTGTAGATTCTTTGATTCACTTTCAGCATTATGCCACTTTTTAGGAAAATCATACTCTGATAGTACGTCGATATAGTTTTGTTCAGTAGAAGGAATTCATCTCATGAAACATACGTGCGAAGAAATATAATTTTAAATAAGTCTACAGTAGTCCGACACAAATTTATGACATGAGAAGCAATACGATCAAAGAGATGTTGAACAATATCATGTTCCCATTGTGATATATTAGTGAGATTGATTTTTAAATTGGTATTCATCAGATAGGCAAGGCGATAATTAGAAATTGAAATTTAAAGTGAGAGAAAGGAAATGAACGTCCTAAGCATTGTCTCATTATAGTAAATAAATCTAACCTATTACTTAACAATAAAGAAGCATGTTCAAAAAAAAGTAAAGGCTCTTTTATGATTTTGTGTGTATGTGTATAAAAAAGTCCATTTAGAACAAGAAAAATAAATTATTAAATAGCAAAAAATAAGACAACTTTACACTTATATGTGTTTTCCTTAAGGTTTCAATAAGAACGAATTATAAACTTGACAGCCGTTTGTGATGTGAAATCTACTAAAAAAATCATGAAATAATGATACAAAATATTGACGATCTTTTCTCTTATCTTTTTCCAATCTTCCTTTCGCGATTCAACTAACAATCAATAATTGAAAAACAATTCTTTAGACATCTCTTGATGTACTCTATAATCGAGACGCAACAAAAACGTTTTTTTTTTCCGGAAAAAAGTTCTCACTATAGAAAACTAGTCTTTATTAGACCTAGCGACGCATTTCATGTTCATATTCGAAATCAACATAGCTGATTACCTTTTGTCGATAAGATTTCAGTTCAAAAGTGATTTTCGAGTTCGGACGATTCGTTCATAGATCTCACTCTTATCATGGTTGTGTTTGGAGAAAACTATTTCAGAATTTATTCGTCTCATATCCAACAAATTTCTTCAATACTCGTTTTTTGATTTAGTTAGTCGATAGCCAGCACTTTTTTTGATGATCTCTCTTGATTTATATTTTCTTTTTTTGTATGATTTTACAAGATAATTCGCTTAAAATCATAAGATATTTAACTATGATCTTTAGTTTCGGTTGGGATAACTTTTTTCTCATAGTTCCAGTCCTGCTATCAGTCACTTCTCTTTCTCGCAATTTCGGTCACCGGGCACCGGAACTAAAGTTCTTCTTGCACATGTCTAGTCTCGTCTATCCCATTTTGGACTTATTTATATGTACATAGCTACTTCAAGTTTATCAAATAAATAATTGGTTCTTATATGTTTTTAAAACAAACAAATTCTATCATTTTCATGTTGTATTGTGCTCGCCGTACAGAAGATGCATATGGATGTACAGTTTAAGTTTACTGACCACTGACTCAGTGTAGTTAGTACATACTAACACACTGGTACCAGTGTTTACTGAAGCATGGAAACATGTTGCTAGAAAAAAAGAAGTATATTTTGATAGAGTTGACGTCTTGATGATTCATTGAACGTGGATGTCAGTGCTTCGATGAACATCAATCTTAGTATTTCAGTATTTACACAAGAGATATCCATGGTGTGCTGCCATCTGCGACGTTGTTAGTGACACTATTTTAAAAACCACTACGGCAAGGCAGCAGCAACTGTAAAAGTGCATGGATTTCCACCCGATTTAAGTGTCTACAAGCCCAACAGATAGAAGTGTGGTGAGTCTGATAGATTGAATCTAACTGTGCTAATTTAGTACAACGATGGAATATATTTCCGAAGAACTTCTCGAAAACCGTCACGGTAACGGCAACTTTTTATATAGTTCACTGCGTAATGGCTACAGCTGATTGTCAAATGCGATCGATATCTCTGATTTACACCAACATTGCACATTCCTAAGAATTTATGAATTGAGAAGATACCGAAATGAATGATGTCTTTCCATAAGTTTTTCTAAATAAGAATTTTTTTCTTATCTTTTCTTCAACTTTTAAATCTTCATATTTATTTCATATTAATAACTGATTTATGTCCAAATATCTAAATAATGGATATCTCTATAGGTCTCGCTGTACTCATCAATCGTATTAATAAACCAAATATAACTGTTGGTGTTGATGGTTCAGTTTATCGTTATCATCCAAGATTTAAAAGAAATATGGAAAAATGTATGAAACTTTTAGTCAATAAAAATATAAAGGTCTGTATGAAATTTAATTGTAAAAAGAAAAGGTATTAAAAAAAAATACGCATGAATTATTGTAATTAAACAACATTAATCAATCAAATATATATATATATATATATATAAATATATTTCAGTTTGATCTTCAATTGTCCAATGATGGTTCAGGCGTTGGTGCTGCATTAAGCGTGGCAGCAGAAGTTTTATCAACTCAGAATCCAAAGGAATCATCTAGCAATCAAAAACAACGTCAATCATATGTGTAAGATAAAGAAAAAAATCACATCAATGAACCAATAAATTGCTTTATTTGGAATCAAGATTTATGCTCTCTTCTTGCTTCACCTTTATTGAACTCATTCATGCTGACTTTTGTATATATAATCTCTTCGGTTTTTTGTTTTGTTTTATCATTTAGTTCAAATTAAGCTTATCCCATGATGGCAGTGGCCAAAGAGCAGCATTAATCGCAATAGTAACATCATTTTTATACAAAAAAAAAAAAAAAAGAAAAATATTTAAATCAATTTCAAGTTTGGATAATCATGATATAATAGAAAACAAAGTAATTCTGCATACACAATTTCAAAAACATTTATCCTAATACGGTAGTCATACATACCTCCTTATAGTCCCTAATACCTTAGTTAGAATGCTATTGTAATCCAGCTGCTTATATTTAAAAGTCTTTTTGTATTAAAGGATTTTATATATGCTCAATATTTATATGTTGTTTAACAGAAAATGTACGACTTTTTTTTCCCCCTTATTTGTTCTTATCTGTTTTGTAGAATAACTTGTTTTTTTTCTAATTTAAATTAGTTGATTGTTAAAAGTGTCGTGTTTTCTTTTCTTGTCTTTTTTTTAAATTGTAGTTCTTTCAATTGAGATTATGAATTGAAATATTTTGTTATCTATTTGTTAATGTAGTCCAAGAAAATATAATTCAGTGAGGAAGATTGGATCTTGAAATATTTAATTCTTTTTCTTTTTCTTTTTCTTTTTCTTGATAATACTATTAAAAGAAAAAGATGATTTTAATAAAAAATTATAAAGTATATTATTTCATTTATCAAGAAAATGAAAATAAAGATCGAATGATAAAGTCACGAACAGTTAAAATTATTTTCCTTTCTTGATATTTTTGTTGTTTTCATAGCTACGCTTCGTTTGTTTTCAAACATATTATATACAATTAGAAAGTACGAAACATGATGCATCTAATAATACATTTATCGTAAACAACAAATAAAAATTAATCCAAAAAGGTGTGTTAGCAAAAAAAGTAACATTTTTTTTTTCTACAATAAACATCAAAATCTTGATTATAACAAAAAAAAATTCATAATAACATCGTCACGGTTGGTCATAATATTCATCCACTTCTAGCCGATGTTGATTTTGAATTAGTTATTTAAAAGAATGCCAAGGTGGATTACTCAGTAGTGATAAATACTTTGCAGATACTGTTAGCATATAAATAATTGTTTTTAACAACTTGACCTCGAACAAGTCATAATGTTTGCCTCATACCTGTTCGATTATGAGATCGACTCTTATCACAAATTAAATACATATTGTCAATATATAATTGATTAATTGCTGATGCTAAGGTACTAGTAATCCATTCATTAAAAATTTCTTGTGTAACACCCTTGATACCTCGGCTTTTACGATCATCAGGACTCAATATCATGCATGCAATTGATTTTGATCTATTAATAGAACCAATAAAATCATATCATTTGAGATATGCTGATGATTTTGTCACTAGGACAAACGATTGTAAGTCAGAAGCAATGAGAGTATGATGAGGAATCATAATGAAATAAATTGCTGTTTTATCAAGAAATTTTAATCTATCATTAAGGCCACCACCCTCCTCCAAAAATCGATTTTTTTTTAAAAGCTCAATTTTCGAGATAAACATATGTGTGTTACCTCTAAGGTGTCTAGTTTTAAAATTCATGAAAGTCACTTTCAATTTCGAAAGGTTTCTTTAGAACAATCGATGGACTTCTAAAGCTTTTTGGCAAAAAATATGATACCTAAGACTATAGAGAACTCATAGACCCCCTTGTTTTTATCGTCCATAATGACAAACAATGACACGGCGTACTGTTGTACGTCTACTGGATGAGACGTCTGATAGGCTTTTAATTGATATACAATATATAAACGTTTCTCTCTAATGCATGAAGATGATTCAACAAAATATTCAAAGAAAAAAATATTCGCGCGTTTTTCTCAAAACTGATTTTTGGCAAAACTGAGAAACTCGAAACAAATTTTTTTTCGGTATAGTTCGTTGCATCGAACTGCGGTTTTTTTTATTCGATAGATTGATGAATCCTCTTTCGACTGAGGGAAATGGAATTTGTATTCGACCCTTAATATTGAAAAAACCCAAGGTTTTCTAGAAAATCTTGGCTAGGGGTTTTAGATCTTTAAGGTTTCGAGAGTTGCAAAAACGAAATAAAATATAAATTTAAAAAAATCCTTTCTCTCATCCGAAGCAGCAAGGAGTTCTCTTTCAAATGAGACCATCCCGGGCGCTGTAGCTTGAAGTGTGTTAAAAAATTCCTTGTTCCCGTGGAAGCCCTATTTTCTCCCTTGATTGTTCGAAATCTTTCGAATGGTAAGGTTTAGAGCTCTGAAAATTTTTTTATATATGCACAACTATGAGCTGAGCATTCCTAGAAAGTTTCGTGAAATTCCCATGTACTATAACGAAAATCGATTTTGGAGAGGGGGGGGGGGTGGCCTTAATAACTTGCTGTAATAATCTTCTGAATTGATCAATTTTATTTCAAAAACCTTTATCAACTAGAAGCATACAAAGAAAAAGAGACACTAATTTGAAATATTATGCAATATAAACATTGTTTTAAAACATTCCACGTTCAAGAGTAGTTTTGTGGGATTTTTCTTTATTCAGTCACAATATATATGTACAGCACATGGATGTGGATAGATAAACAAAAGAAAAAAGAAAATGAAACAGAACAGATGATAAAATCGACCTCATCAAGTGCAAATCGGCATAGCACGTGCAAAAATATGTTTTGATTATTTTCAAGAATTCCAGTAATAAAACGTCTTCATCTCATTTTATTAATTCGATGATATTCATATTTTGAATATTGCATACATATAAGTTGCAAACAATCTTAATTCTAATCAAAATTTTGTGTGTGTTAATACAAAGAAAAGTAACAAGTCTTTCAAATTTGCTTACCTCGCATCGTAGATTGCAGAAAAAAAAATGTTACTTTTTTTGGTTTAATCTTTATTTGTTGTTCACGATAAATATACTATTAGATGTAGTGCATTTCATACTTTCTCGCTATAT